TAATGAAGGTGTATTCGCTGAGCCCACAGCCTCATAATATGAGGCTGAAGATCCTGGTCTTCTAGGTTTTTCATAGCTTGATGTTGTCATGCTCTGCTCTGTAATCTGCATATTGCCACAAAAAACACAATTCCCCTTTAAATGGAACTGAACAAAAACTACTAAATAGAAATCTTGCCTTAATATAACCTCAAAGGGCTAAAAAGGGTATCTTGGATTGATTGTTTGACATATATGGTTTATGGGGTCCTTGTGGTGTCAAACCTTTAGGTCTGGGAACACTAAACAGAAAAAAAAAACAAAGTATGGTGGTAAATCTATGCATGATTCACTGCACTACAACAGCTTTAGTATTTGACACACAAATATCTTCAAACTGATCAACTCTTAGACTGGTTATGTAGCTTTCTAGTAATAATCATCATATGCCACCTTAACATTCCCCAGAATCATGGATCAGGTCTGAATTTCTGATATATCCAAGGGATGCAGCTAAGCCATCCAGGTATTTATCTCTCTGTCTTCCCATGGACTTTAAAAAAAACCCTCAGTGATGTCAGTTCTGCTGCTTGTTTCAGTGCTGCATGTTTCATGTAAGCAGAATGGCTAGTGTAACTGCCACGCACTATGCAGGTTATGATATGTATTTCTGCCAAGGAACAAAACAACAATTCACAACACGGTCTGTCGGTAGGAACAAACCAGACTCACCTGGCAGAGGTTTCTTAATGCTGGTAGGAACAAACCAGACTCACCTGGCAGAGGTTTCTTGATGCTGGTAGGAACAAACCAGACTCACCTGGCAGAGGTTTCTTAATGCCGGTAGGAACAAACCAGACTCACCTGGCAGAGGTTTCTTAATGCTGGTAGGAACAAACCAGACTCACCTGGCAGAGGTTTCTTAATGCTGGTAGGAACAAACCAGACTCACCTGGCAGAGGTTTCTTAATGCTGGTAGGAACAAACCAGACTCACCTGGCAGAGGTTTCTTAATGCTGGTAGGAACAAACCAGACTCACCTGGCAGAGGTTTCTTGATGCTGGTAGGAACAAACCAGACTCACCTGGCAGAGGTTTCTTGATGCTGGTAGGAACAAACCAGACTCACCTGGCAGAGGTTTCTTAATGCCAGTAGGAACAAACCAGACTCACCTGGCAGAGGTTTCTTAATGCCGGTAGGAACAAACCAGACTCACCTGGCAGAGGTTTCTTAATGCTGGTAGGAACAAACCAGACTCACCTGGCAGAGGTTTCTTAATGCCGGTAGGAACAAACCAGACTCACCTCGCAGAGGTTTCTTAATGCCGGTAGGAACAAACCAGACTCACCTGGCAGAGGTTTCTTAATGCTGGTAGGAACAAACCAGACTCACCTGGCAGAGGTTTCTTAATGCCGGTAGGAACAAACCAGACTCACCTGGCAGAGGTTTCTTGATGCTGGTAGGAACAAACCAGACTCACCTGGCAGAGGTTTCTTAATGCTGGTAGGAACAAACCAGACTCACCTGGCAGAGGTTTCTTAATGCCGGGTAGGAACAACCAGACTCACCTGGCAGAGGTTTCTTAATGCCAGTAGGAACAAACCAGACTCACCTGGCAGAGGTTTCTTGATGCTGGTAGGAACAAACCAGACTCACCTGGCAGAGGTTTCTTAATGCTGGTAGGAACAAACCAGACTCACCTGGCAGAGGTTTCTTAATGCTGGTAGGAACAAACCAGACTCACCTGGCAGAGGTTTCTTAATGCCAGTAGGAACAAACCAGACTCACCTGGCAGAGGTTTCTTAATGCTGGTAGGAACAAACCAGACTCACCTGGCAGGGGTTTCTTGATGCTGGCTGCTGTAGCTGGTATCTCCCTGACAATCTCCTTGTCATCTTCATTATCTGCCAGCCATCGTCCACATCTGAACGAATATCTCTCTTTCCCGTCCATGCTTTCTAATTCAATCTTAAATGTAAGCATTCTTTTTTTAAATATTTTATTTTATGAGGGTGGTGTAAAAAAAAGGGGGGGGGGGGGGGGGGTGGGGGGGCGCATTGTGAGAAGGGAAAACTTGCAACATGCTGTGACAAATGGAAACTTTTATGGAAACAGAGATAAACAACATGAGAAAATTCTTCACAACCTTTTTCATGGCATGGAAGGGTGTTACTACACAAACCGATACATGCTGCTGGAGACTACCAAACAAGGATAAGTGTGATCACCTAGGCTATTCAGCCAGATACTAGATAAATGCTATTCAGATGCAGAAATGGTATGTAGCAATGAATGACTTGACATTAGGTATGTAACAATGAATGACTTGACACTGGGTATGTAACAACGAATGACTTGACATTAGGTATGTAACAATGAATGACTTGACACTGGGTATGTAACAATGAATGACTTGACATTGGGTATGTAATAATGAATGACTTGAAATTGGGTATGTAACAATGAATGACTTGACACTGGGTATGTAACAATGAATGACTTGACATTGGGTATGTAACAATGAATGACTTGACACTGGGTATGTAACAATGAATCACTTAACACTAGGTATGTACTTTATTGCAGATTTTCTATTACACAATGTTTCACTCATTCAAAGATCAGTAAATCAGTCTTCAATAAGACACACAATTTTAGCTGATACTGTCTAAAATATAAAATAGCTTTTTGAATCTGTTTTCCTTTCTTGGCAACAAAATATGTCTTCCTTCTTTGCAACAAAATACATTTCAGCATTTAAAGTCTTAGAAAAATGTCAGAAAGTAATCTGACAGAATGACTTTACCTTACATTAAAACAATGGTACCATTAGGTAGGATTGCTTGAATTCTGCATCTTCAAATGTTGTGCCCTCTTTACAATGTACTCTTTATGTCTTTGTCTAGCTTTAGCAGTAACAGTGAAGAAAACATTTGTTACTTGTCTATTAACACTGAATTAACTGCTTATCTTTTCCAAATTATTTTCTTGTTTCTCATTCAATTTAAGAGGATGCCAGTGTAGACTTTACTTACTGCTCAATCAGTTGTTGAGTTCCCCTATTGCTTGTCAATTTCAAACACATTTGTGCAATTGGAAAAATACAGATATCTCTACATTATGTTTTGGCATTTTAAAATCTGGATCTTTCAGCAGCTTATGTCAGGTAATTCTTTCAAACCAGTGAATTTCCTGTTCCTGTGCACAGTAATTACAAACAAATAAAAAAAACCATATGTCAATTACTTTTCAAGATATGCAATGTTTACTGTGTTGGATTCCCCACAGGTATTTAGATGGAGCTGATAATGAAATATCTTACATTTGTGTGGGGAGAAATATTACAAGGCACATGATAAAGATGATATTACAATCACATAAGTACAGGGGTACCTCGTTATACATCCTTAATCTGTTCCATATCCTTGGAAGTAAACCAAACTGGATGTTTACCAAACAAATTTTCCCATAAAAAATAAAAGGAGAATGATAAATCTGTTCTCAGGAAAAACAAAATCCTATTGCTAGACATAATCTACATCGAAAGGTTTATTTACAATAATTTAAACACTTATTTATACTAAAATACATAAATAAGTGAAGGAACCTTTTCCACGCCCTTAGGCGTATAGGGCATATAGGACTAGACCTATATTTTTTATAGACCAATCGGCACAAGATGGGTGATGTGGTCAGCATAACGCCGGCCGCCCTTACTTCCCGGGACTGCACCCGGTACCAACTCAATGCTGAGTCGACCTGGGAGCCAAGGTCATTTTTGAAAATAATCCGGCTCCACCAGGGAGCGAACCCACGACCTTCCGGCAAGCGTCTTGCCGCTCGGCCACGGTAACTCCCAAAATACATAAATACAAAAGCAATTAGAAAAGTAAATAAATATTTAACCTCACTTTGACCTTCCTGAGAAGAGTCCAGTGACTACTAGGATGGTGTTGAGAATGGAGTAGGTGGTAATGTGATTTTCTGGAAGGAGAGCTCTCTTCCAACAAAACTTCACAAACTTGAAACTGTGGAGTTTTTTCTCTTTCTTTTTATTTTTTTTCTGTGCCTTGGGCCTGGTTGAGGCTCATTATGTTTGACCTTCACTACAAATCTGTTCAAAGAACTTGGCTTCTACCTTCTCCTCAGGATACTTTGGAAATGTCTTGTCATTCTAAGCAATGCTATTATGGCTTGTTTGGGTTCTTTTACATCTCTGCAAAGTTTCTGACAACCATCCAATTTGCAAATATTTCCTTGATTAATGAGAGATGCAAACAACGACAGCACATGGTGTCATGATTCATTTTGACAAATTCTAGCACAAAATTTTATTCCAAGGAAATTTTGTATAACAAGCAGAATGTTTCATATCCAAACAGGGTGTGTACCAAGTTGGACGTATAGCAAAAAAAGACATATACCGAAGACTATTTCATATAAAAGTAAAGGACCTATTTAGATGATTTATATGTTTACTGCCTGATGCTGACCACATCAAATACCAAGTGCCCAGTGGCCTATAAAGTATAGTTCTACTAAAATATGCCCAATTTGCCTGGAAAGAAGGATTCTTTACTTTTAACTTTATATAATATTTAAATATTTTACACCAAATATTTGCTTTACCTTTCTTTTAATATTGAAACTGAGTGAATAATTACTTTCATTTGCTAGTTAGTTATAAATAAACTTTTATTTGCATAAAATTTATAAATTGTTTATGAAAGCTTTTTTTTTTTTTTTTACAGTTCAGCGAGACACGCAAAGATGATCATCATTTGTGTGGTCACAAAGAGAAACAGTGAATGTATTCATGTTTCAACAAACCACACAGCATTCAGTTTTATGTTGGAACCTGAAGATTAGAGCTGGAAAACTTAGAATGGTGCTATATCTGTTGTTTTAATTGCGACTGCATACACCAGCAATGTCTTTACACATGTAAAGTTTACTCATAATTGAAAAAAAAAAAAAAACACTTGTAATGTAAAAATATATGTCAAAAACGGCGTGCTTACCTTATCCAAATGCCAGCCAGCAAACGTCCCTGAGTTATCATGCCAAACTCTAATTTTGTACGGCTTCCCAACATCATTTGTACTAAAGCGAAATGTGTCGACCTGTCCTTTTTCAAATGTGTTTCCTTTATTCTGAAGCGGAATGTCATCCGACTTTCCCTTGTCTCCATAGATCACCATGTACACATTAGCATCTGTGCCAGCATTTGCAATGTCACTGGTGAAAACCCAGGCCTGCCAGTTTGTCTCTGAAATCAGGTGAATAAATAAAAATTGCAAATATAATCAGCTCTACAATGCCATGATCACACATACACAAACAACCAGCAGACATGACAACTCATTACCTTCAACTATTAACAAAAGCAAACAAAACAAAGTAAGAAGCAATCAACTAGACACAGACATAACAATGGTCTATCATATTTTTAAACAACAGGAATTAGGTTGGTCAACCGGTGAGAATGGTTTAGGTAAATATTCATTTAAAAAAAATACAATTAAATCATTGGTTTTAGAGAAGAATTCTTATAATTAATTGGACAGCTAAAATGATTTATCTAAATGTTTTTAAAAAAGCTAAGACAAGAAGATAACTTTATCACAAACATCAGAACGAGGCAGTCATCATCTGGCCTTATTACAAATAGAGAGTGCACGGAAAATGCTGCAACATTTGCAGTACTGTACAGATTGAAGCAAAGAGGAAGACAATAACAGAATGTTTTGGAGTCTTTTATCATGGTACATAAAGACACCAGCATATCGACTGACACATGCTGCTGGAGATGGGAAATATGTGGAGAAGTATGACTGCCCAAATCATCAGTTATAATTAACTCTTTGAGTTCCTACCTAGAAGCCCCATGAACGCATGATGCGCCGATTTTATGACTTTATTTACTACCCCCTGGGCCTGTGATGCTAAACCCCCTGGGATTCAAAGAGTTAAGCACACTTACGTTTCTCTCTTGTTTTTCTCAAGCTCTTCTGCTCCAACAGTGTCCTTTGAATGAGACCATCCTCTTCATCTGTGGCCAGCCATTTATGACAGGGAAAATACTGCTCGATTCCTGTGGCTGGACAGTAAACCTTACAGAAACAAATAGTTCTAAATGAAACAAGACTGAATCCTTTATTTAACAATAGCAGTAATAATGTCACGTTTGGCATGTTATACCTAAAGAGCAAAGTCTAGAACTAAAGAGTAAAGTCTAGAGCTAAAAGATACAGTCTAGAACTAAAGAGTAAAGTCTAGAGCTAAAAGATACAGTCTAGAACTAAAATGTAAAGTCTAGAGCTAAAAGATACAGTCTAGAACTAAAAAGTAAAGTCTAGAAGTAAAAGATAGTCTAGAACTACAAGGAAAAATTCTAAAGCTAAAAGATACAGTCTAGAACTAAAGAGTAAAGTCTAGAGCTAAAAGATGTCTAGAACTAAAATGTAAAGTCTAGAGCTAAAAGATACAGTCTAGAACTAAAGAGTAAAGTCTAGAGCTAAAAGATAAGTCTAGAACTAAAATGTAAAGTCTAGAGCTAAAAGATACTTTCTAGAACTAAAAAGTAAAGTCTAGAAGTAAAAGATGGTCTAGAACTACAAGGAAAAATTATAAAGCTAAAAGATACAGTCTAGAACTAAAAAGTAAAGTCATCTAGAACTAAAAGGTAAAGTCTAAAGCTAAAAGAGACATGTTTTTGTCCTTTCTCCTCAACTGGCTCAGTAAGCCCAGTTGGTGGTCATTACTGAAACCTAATTGTGTTTGAAATCCCTACCAGGGATGAGTGAATAGTTATTATTATTCTAATGTTATATATTGCTGCTAATTCCTCTGAATTAATTTTATCTGCTGGATTCTATAAATGTGCCGTCGACATGTAGGAGAAAACTTGAGGAATGTCTCTGTTCTTGCTAACCGCTTTTAAGCTCTAGTAAGTACATGTATGTAAACATATTATATATTTGTTGATTTATATAATGTTTATTTGAAACTAGAAGCGTGAATCAGTGTATTTGGTTATTATACTTAAATATCAATCAATCAATCAATCAATCAATCAATCAGGTGTCGTCTCCACAATGAAGGTTGGCTGCAATGGATCTCCAACAAGCCCTGTCTCTTGACCTTGATGTACACTCACTCATACTGCTGTTCGTCCATTTCTTGATGTTATCCTCCCACTTGTAACGCTGTCTGCCTCTTGCTCGCCTACCTTGAACCTTTCCCTCTAGGATGATCTTTACAATACTGTTATGTCTTTTAATGTGGCCAAAATATTTCACTTGTCTCTTTTTTATTTCACCTAGCAACTCTCTTTTCATTCCCAATTTCCTCAGTACCTCTGTATTTGATAGCTTTTGTTTCCATGAAATACGACCTAATCTTCTGTATATCCACATCTCCAAAGAATTACTTTAATATAATAATTACTAATTGATGTCATGTGAAATCAAAGGCCAATTCCCATTTCCAGCATGGTTAGGTATAATAAATGAATGAATGCTCATTATATTTCTTCAGTTTGGCTGGTCTGTTGTTACACTGCTCACTGTCACATTCCTATGTATATGCAGACACATTCCTTGATCATGACTGCACAACAACCAGTTGGCACTGCTAGACAGATACTTACATATCACGGGTACATTCTCTATGAACTCCTCCAAGATTCACAGTCTTTATAACCACTAATTTTTTTAATTAAAAAAAAAAAAAAATCAAATTTTAGATTATACACGGTTTTTATTGCAATTTCTCCTGCTTCATCTAGTTTTGACTTACCTCTTAACTCTACCAGACCGCTAGCCCGCTTTTACAGGAATCTCCTAACCTGCCGCTAAACCGTTGTCCCTCAATGTCTGGAATTGTCGTACTATGAGAAAACAATTCATCACAAACTAAAAATAACTAGCCAGTTGTAATAAGATCTTGTGGATAGTCTTCCTAGATGTCCGCTCGCACGTTTTTGGATTAAATTTGTGTTGATTTATGTGTTACCAGATTTATGTGAAGAAATTCTGAAAATTCACAATGAAACGAGCGGCTGATAAACCAAGCACTTCGACAGGAAAGTGAAGTAGGTCTAAGCTTTTCACAGTCTAACTGCAAAGCCATAATTTCATGAAGAATATGTTCACAGTTGAAGTGACACAGTCAGTGAGAGCCAGAATGATGAGGAGAATCTTGAAAATTATAAATCTAGAAATAGATCGAAAGTAGGAGAAGGGGGCGTGTCCCTCAAACAGCAACATCCTGTGTTCACTTTGTCTCCAAGTTTCACCTTATTCTAGACACTTGTTTGCATGTAACTAATATTTGTGTATATCATGTTGGTTTTTTTGTGTTAATGCCCAGGAGCTCAGGTATAGGAGGCAGTTATTTTCAGGGCCTCAGGTCTGGTAGGGTTAACTGGTACCTTTTCCACCAGTATTTTTTTCATCAGTCTGTGTTTATGCCTCGTTTCAATTAAGATATTACTGTATGTATGTATGTGTATGTGTATGTGTGTGTATATATATTAGGGCTGTACCGAATATTTGCTTTGCATTCGATTCGGGGCCGAATAGTGGACCTAATAACTATTAGGTCGAATACTTGCGGTCAGGCCAAATACGAATAGTGGTTACCTTACACACGTTTCTGCATAAACTGCGATAGACTGAAAAAAACTCTCTCATTAACACAATTGTTGCTGTTGCCTAAATCTGTTGTAGCGAAGGCAACTGAGACCCAGTTTGGTACAGCATCCAGTTTTAACATATGACTGTGAATCCTAGACAATCGGTAGGCAGGCCAAACAATTTCTGCAGGCCTCAGAAATGTGGTTTTACAGAACAATGCTTAAAATACATTGGACAGCCAAAAACAGCAACCAAGAGGTTTTGAAAGAGGTGGGAGCCCGAAGACAACTAATCACAGACATCAGAAAACGACAGTCATTATTTTTCGGCCATGTTATGAGAAGAGGGAAAATGGAACATGTGGTGACAACAGGAAAGAACTGTAGAAGGAGGGATAGAGGAAGACAATGAAAGAAGATTCTTGACAGTGTTGTTGCATGGCATGGGGGTGTGTCAGCACACGAACTAATACATGCTGCAGGAGATTGCAGATTGTGGCAAGGCAGACGCAAGTCGGTAAGGCACCTGATGATACACTATTCGTATTCAGCCGAATAGTTGGTCCCGCTATTCGTATTCGGCTGCATAGTGAAAATCTCTATTCAGTACAGCCCTAATATATATATATATATATATATATATATATATATATATATATATATATATATATATATATATATATATATATATATATATATATATATATATATATATATATATTTTCCTGTCATCTGCGCTCAAACTTTTATTTTTGGAACTGCTGAGTACATCATATTCCATTTAAATGCAATTGCACATGTTAATTTTACATGGGTGCATTTTATTACACCTTAGTTAATATATTCATTAAGATCATTGTTTAGTTGTCTGCTGACGAAAGGCTCACCACATATTTTTTCTTCAAATTGTAATTTTATCAAACTTACTTGTACAATGTGATGAAGAATGAAGGGCAAATGTGCCCAGACAGCATTACTGAGTTATACTTACTGTCACATTTTCCAAAAACCAACCAGAAGCAGTTCCACTATCATCATGTCCAACTTCAATTTTGGTCAGTGGACTTAACATTTTCGCCACATCCACATTAAAAATGTCCGTCTCATTGCGCTTGAACCTTCCTGTCTGGAGCCAGATTTTGCCACTTGTTTCCTCCATTTTCCCACCACCATACATAATGATATACACCTTAGCATCAGTTCCGGCACGAGCTTTATCACCTGTCTTCACAGTTATAATGAAAGGGTAGCCTGTGTTAAGAATATATAATATATAAATGTATATATACATATTGTTTTTCAAAGCAATGTTAAAATAGTGTAAATCTGAACAAAGAAGACACAAACAACAGAAAACTGTACAATTCATCTCCTGGCATATTTTACAATTAACCTCTTTCTTTCAGATTTATCAAGATAAAAACGAGATGTCATAAAACATGCATTTGCCCGAGTAAAAGAGGCAGTCACATAACCACAACATCAAATCAAATCATCAACATCTGTTTTATCATGGTTTAATAATTGTTTTTGAACAAAGGAGTCAGTCTTAGTCTGTGTCTTATTCTGATTATAAAATTAAGTGGAGAAAGCACTCCTGCCACTGACTACACCCCTCAGCAACTGCAACTGATTTCAAACGCATTATCATCATTGTCATTACCATACATCAAAACACATCAAGGAAAAATATAAGGAATTGTGGAGAGAACGAACTAACAGTAAACATCCATAAGACCCTATCAGCAGACTCAGCATAAAGCAACATACAAAAAGGACACTGCAGACTCGACTATCACATGCATTAAATAAAGACTGTACAGCACAGTGTGCCTGTCAAACAGGACCACAAACACCTTAGCACACTCTGCAGACCTGCCCACTCTACCTACAACTTCGAAAATACACCTTGCCTCAAGAGCAAAGTGTACAGAGCAAGTTACTGGGAACCATGAAGGACCTGCTGCTAACATGCGAGTTCATAGAGGCAACCCACCTGATAGTCTGATCTTAGCAAACGCAACTGATGCAAAGAAGAAGAAGAAATGCATTATCAGATGCCTGACAGCTTCTTCTTTTAGAGTCTGCAATTTTTGTGTCATCGTCACTTGCTTTTTCATCTTCACTAGCTGCTCCATACACTGTTACACTGGTCCGTTCTTCAGTCAGTATCACTTGCGACATTTCTTCTGAGTCTGGTTAATTACACCTGGGTCGCCTAAGATCATCGGAAAACTCACATTCGTTATGAAGTAGCAACAAAAATAATGTTATGGTAAGGGGTCGCCACAACACGAGGAGCTGTATTAAAGTGTCACGGCATTAGGAAGGTTGAGAACCCCTACTCTAGGGGGAACAACTGCTCTATCTACCGATGGCTACATTTTTTTTCACTATCAGTTCTACCAGGAAATAAAATCCTTATAGACTGCTTTTTGCAACTGCCGCAAGATTTATTAGGAGTGCAATATGCACACATAGCCTCCGATTGTTTGCCCTGATAATATAAGCTACGTATTTGATTTCACTCACATAGCAGATTCTACGATATGGGAATGTACAGTAAAATTATAACATGCCGCCTGTATCGTCCTGTAAAATAATATTGTTCTCAATTCTCTAAAACAAACAGATCAGCTTTACGTTGAAGTCGACCTACAAAAATTCACTATATACATCTGTCTCTTGCCATTGTTATCATTCTAATGAAGCTGTTGTCTTTCTCTTACACACTTCCATTTAACTGCAACAGATGGGTTCAAACTATTTCAAACGTCTAGGTTTGATCGTATTTTTTTCGTTGGCGGTTTATCACAATTTGTATTTACAACATCGGGCAATTGTGAAACCAGTGTTTAATGTGAAGGTAACAGTTTAAATGAGACGATATTAAAAACACATACACATTTAATGTGTATTCCCCATTGGGATTAAAAACCTAAAGGTCTCACACTTAGTGACTCAAAAGACCATACTTGGATGTCAACCCAGTAGGGGAACGATCGTGGATGCCCTTTAAAAAACATATATTTTGGTGCATCCCAAGTCTTCCAAAAGTAACCCGTGTGAATGGGACATTCTCATACAGAGATAACATAATAGGCTTAACAGAAACGGCCAGTCCGCATGATCACTGAGAGATAGAGAATGGTGACCTCGCCCGGGCAACAGACTTCGGTTTCACCTTTTGTGCACCGATAGGGAGTTAGCTTCCCGTGGCAAAATGAAGGTGAACCAGAGGGGGTGGTGTAATTTTCACTCCGGTTATACTACTACCATGTTTGCTTGCAAATATACGACTAGGCAAAATAGGGATGTGGCTGATTATCAAAAAAGCCGTAACTCAACAGTTGCGATCCATAAAAACTGTTCACATGTGACGATATACGTATAGATACTGTACCTTCCTCCTCTGTGCAAGCATGGAAAGCAATGAAAATATTATTAACGTCAGCTAATTATTGTGTGAAATCAATCAAACAAATGAAATATATATGTGAAATCAATCAAACAAATGAAATATATACATTCTAATATAAACAGCTGTACAGTGAAACAATGAGAAATCCATATACGGTATGCCACGAATGTCAGCTGATTATACAATGTAAACAGCCTTCGATATGCTGATTATATCGTTTTGATCACTTTAAATGAAATACAAAGGCAAGAAATATTGGACAAAATTGTAACAGAAAGTCAAAACAAAAGCCTTAGTTTCAACAGCAGCAAAAACAGAAATAATGGTAATTGCAAAGAAATTATGCCGTCTAAAATGCAACATAAAGCTAAATGGGTCAATATTAAAGCAAGTCTGTACTTTTAAGAACTTGAGTACCCGAATAACAGAAGATGGAAGACGTATTAAAGAAGCTGACTAATAAATTAGTTAAAGCAAAGACAACATTTTACAACAAGAAGAATATTCTACGATTCCCGATGGTTGTTGCCAGAGCTACGGTATTTCCTGTTTTCTGTGACTCTCTTACTAGTTACCAGTCATTGCGTGGCAAGGGACTGAGTTATACAAGATAATACTAGATGTAAGTGCATGTGCTGTTCCCCCTCAAGGCTACTATCGGACGGTATGACACCCTGAGATTACAGCATCTCAGACTGGATGGCAGGCCAACAATGCAAATCTCCTATACTCCATTCAACCTCGAAAGAAATGGGACACCTGTAATGACCCATCGTCTTCTCTAGACGTGTAAAGACCCCACCAGGCAGGTGTAACGACCACACCAGGCAGGTGTGAGGACCACACCAGGCAGGTGTAACGACCCCACCAGGAAGGTGTAACGACCGCCCAGGCAGGTGTAACGACCCCACCAGGCAGGTGTAACGACCGCACCAGGCAGGTGTAACGACCACACCAGGCAGGTGTAACGACCGCACCAGGCAGGTGTAACGACCACACCAGGCAGGTGTAACGACCGCCCAGGCAGGTGTGAGGACCACACTTGGCAGATGTAACGACCACACCAAGCAGGTGTAACGACCACACCAGGCAGGTGTAACTCCAAGTATAGATTAGTACGTCTCAGCCAGATGTAGGCTAATGAGGTCGATTATCTCACTTTAAACACAATTGGGTATTTTCACCTGACATTAAACTTTGTGAATTAGTCTGTCCTTTGATTGCTCTTCCCCTAAACAAACTTTTGAGCCCAATTGTGTCTGACATGTTATTTCGTGCATTAGTCTGTCCTTTGACTGTCTCAACGCACCAGGACGACTTTTCCAAAGGCTCATAATGAGGGACAATGACTTATGATCAACCCATATTTTGTCTATTTTACATAGCAGCTGTTTTCAAATACCATTCTCATTTTCGGTCAAAGACATAAACTAGCAGAGAAAAGAGAGTAAGAAGCTACAAATGAAATTCATACCATGCTTAAATCATCTGACACCAACAGATGGTGTGCAAATCTCCAGTCAGTAAGTCTGCTTGGTCAGTCTTATCTCTGTACCTTAACACTTAACATCTGGGAAAAAGTTGTAGTGTTTGATATGACCAACGGTCCAGGAGAATTAAAGGTGTGATGTGGTCATCCTATTTAGATTAAGGATGTATCCAAATCCCTATTTGTCTGTATACTTCAAAATACACACAAATAAAAGTAGGTTGAGGAAAGACATTCTGAAGTCACCGCGCGTATTGTCACAATTATTTACAACTGTCTGTACATGCTACACGGGGCCAGTAATCAGTCATGATTTAAGCATGGTATGAATTTCATTGTAGCTTCTTACTCTCTTTTCTCTGCTAGTTTATGTCTTTGACGAAAATGGGAATGGTATTTGAAAACAGCTGCTATGTAAAATAGACAAAACATGGGTTGATCATAAGTCATTGTCCTCATTATGAGCCTTTGGAAAAGTCGTCCTGGTGCGTTGAGACAGTCAAAGGACAGACTAATGCACGAAATAACATGTCAGACACAATTGGGCTCAAAAGTTTGTTTAGGGGAAGAGCAATCAAAGGACAGACTAATTCACAAAGTTTAATGTCAGGTGAAAATACCCAATTGTGTTTAAAGTGAGATAATCGACCTCATTAGCCTACATCTGGCTGAGACGTACTAATCTATACTTGGAGTTACACCTGCCTGGTGTGGTCGTTACACCTGCTTGGTGCGGTCGTTACACCTGCCAAGTGTGGTCCTCACACCTGCCTGGGCGGTCGTTACACCTGCCTGGTGTGGTCGTTACACCTGCCTGGTGCGGTCGTTACATCTGCCTGGTGTGGTCGTTACACCTGCCTGGTGCGGTCGTTACACCTGCCTGGTGTGGTCGTTACACCTGCCTGGTGGAGTCGTTACACCTGCCTGGGCGGTCGTTACACCTTCCTGGTGGGGTCGTTACACCTGCCTGGTGTGGTCCTCACTCCTGCCTGGTGCGGTCGTTGCACCTGCCTGGTGCGGTCGTTACACCTTCCTGGTGGGGTCGTTACACATGCCTGGTGTGGTCCTCACACCTGCCTGGTGTGGTCGTTACACCTGCCTGGTGGGGTCTTTACACGTCTAGAGAAGACGATGGGTCATTACAGGTGTCCCATTTCTTTCGAGGTTGAATGGAGTATAGGAGATTTGCATTGTTGGCCTGCCATCCAGTCTGAGATGCTGTAATCTCAGGGTGTCATACCGTCCGATAGTAGCCTTGAGGAGTAATAGCACATGCACTTACATCTAGTATTATCTTGTATAACTCAGTCCCTTGCCACGCAATGACTGGTAACTAGTAAGAGAGTCACAGAAAACAGGAAATACCGTAGCTCTGGCAACAACCATCAGGAATCGTAGAATATTCTTCTTGTTGTAAAATGTTGTCTTTGCTTTAACTAATTTATTAGTCAGCTTCTTTAATACGTCTTCCATCTTCTGTTATTCGGGTACTCAAGTTCTTAAAAGTACAGACTTGCTTTAATATTGACCCATTTAGCTTTATGTTGCATTTTAGACGGCATAATTTCTTTGCAATTACCATTATTTCTGTTTTTGCTGCTGTTGAAACTAAGGCTTTTGTTTTGACTTTCTGTTACAATTATGTCCAATATTTCTTGCCTTTGTATTTCATTTAAAGTGATCAAAACGATATAATCAGCATATCGAAGGCTGTTTACATTGTATAATCAGCTGACATTCGTGGCATACCGTATATGGATTTCATCATTGTTTCACTGTACAGCTGTTTATATTAGAATGTATATATTTCATTTGTTTGATTGATTTCACATATATATTTCATTTGTTTGATTGATTTCACACAATAATTAGCTGACGTTAATAATATTTTCATTGCTTTCCATGCTTGCACAGAGGAGGAAGGTACAGTATCTATACGTATATCGTCACATGTGAACAGTTTTTATGGATCGCAACTGTTGAGTTACGGCTTTTTTGATAATCAGCCACATCCTTATTTTGCCTAGTCATATATTTGCAAGCAAACATGGTAGTAGTATAACCGGAGTGAAAATTACACCACCCCCTCTGGTTCACCTTCATTTTGCCACGGGAAGCTAGCTCCCTATCGGTGCACAAAAGGTGAAACCGAAGTCTGTTTCCCGGGCGAGGTCACCATTCTCTATCTCTCAGTGATCATGCGGACTGGCCGTTTCTGTTAAGCCTATTATGTTATCTCTGTATGAGAATGTCCCATTCACACGGGTTACTTTTGGAAGACTTGGGATGCACCAAAATATCTGTTTTTTAAAGGGCATCCACGATCGTTCCCCTACTGGGTTGACATCCAAGTATGGTCTTTTGAGTCACTAAGTGTGAGACCTTTAGGTTTTTAATCCCAATGGGGAATACACATTAAATGTGTATGTGTTTTTAATATCGTCTCATTTAAACTGTTACCTTCACATTAAACACTGGTTTCACAATTGCCCGATGTCGTAAATACAAATTGTGATAAACCGCCAACGAAAAAAATACGATCAAACCTAGACGTTTGAAATAGTTTGAACCCATCTGTTGCAGTTAAATGGAAGTGTGTAAGAGAAAGACAACAGCTTCATTAGAATGATAACAATGGCAAGAGACAGATGTATATAGTGAATTTTTGTAGGTCGACTTCAACGTAAAGCTGATCTGTTTGTTTTAGAGAATTGAGAAAAATATTATTTTACAGGACGATACAGGCGGCATGTTATAATTTTACTGTACATTCCCATATCGTAGAATCTGCTATGTGAGTGAAATCAAATACGTAGCTTATATTATCAGGGCAAACAATCGGAGGCTATGTGTGCATATTGCACTCCTAATAAATCTTGCGGCAGTTGCAAAAAGCACAGTCTATAAGGATTTTATTTCCTGGTAGAACTGATAGTGAAAAAAAATGTAGCCATCGGTAGATAGAGCAGTTGTTCCCCCTAGAGTAGGGGTTCTCAACCTTCCTAATGCCGTGACACTTTAATACAGCTCCCCGTGTTGTGGCGACCCCTTACCATAACATTATTTTTGTTGCTACTTCATAACGAATGTGAGTTTTCCGATGTTCTTAGGCGACCCAGGTGTAATTAACCAGACTCAGAAGAAATGTCGCAAGTGATACTGACTGAAGAACGGACCAGTGTAACAGTGTATGGAGCAGCTAGTGAAGATGAAAAAGCAAGTGACGATGACACAAAAATTGCAGACTCTAAAAGAAGAAGCTGTCAGGCATCTGATAATGCATTTCTTCTTCTTCTTTGCATCAGTTGCGTTTGCTAAGATCAGACTATCAGGTGGGTTGCCTCTATGAACTCGCATGTTAGCAGCAGGTCCTTCATGGTTCCCAGTAACTTGCTCTGTACACTTTGCTCTTGAGGCCAGGTGTATTTTCGAAGTTGTAGGTAGAGTGGACAGGTCTGCAGAGTGTGCTAAGGTGTTTGTGGTCCTGTTTGACAGGCACACTGTGTTGTACAGTCTTTATTTAATGCATGTGATAGTTGAGTCTGCAGTGTCCTTTTTGTAGACGGGAAAACTGTTGTATGTTGCTTTATGCTGAGTCTGCTGATAGTGTCTTATGGATGTTTACTGTTAGTTCGTTCTCTCCACAATTCCTTATATTTTTCCTTGATGTGTTTTGATGTATGGTAATGACAATGATGATAATGCGTTTGAAATCAGTTGCAGTTGCTGAGGGGTGTAGTCAGTGGCAGGAGTGCTTTCTCCACTTAATTTTATAATCAGAATAAGACACAGACTAAGACTGACTCCTTTGTTCAAAAACAATTATTAAACCATGATAAAACAGATGTTGATGATTTGATTTGATGTTGTGGTTATGTGACTGCCTCTTTTACTCGGGCAAATGCATGTTTTATGACATCTTGTTTTTATCTTGATAAATCTGGAAGAAAGAGGTTAATTGTAAAATATGCCAGGAGATGAATTGTACAGTTTTCTGTTGTTTGTGTCTTCTTTGTTCAGATTGACACTATTTTAACATTGCTTTGAAAAACAATATGTATATATACATTTATGTATTATATATTCTTAACACAGGCTACCCTTTCATTATAACTGTGAAGACAGGTGATAAAGCTCGTGCCGGAACTGATGCTAAGGTGTATATCATTATGTATGGTGGTGGGAAAATGGAGGAAACAAGTGGCAAAATCTGGCTCCAGACAGGAAGGTTCAAGCGCAATGAGACGGACATTTTTAATGTGGATGTGGCGAAAATGTTAAGTCCACTGACCAAAATTGAAGTTGGACATGATGATAGTGGAACTGCTTCTGGTTGGTTTTTGGAGAATGTGACAGTAAGTATAACTCAGTAATGCTGTCTGGGCACATTTGCCCTTCATTCTTTATCACATTGTACAAGTGAGTTTGATAAAATTACAATTTGAAGAAAAAAATATGTTGTGAGCCTTTCGTCAGCAGACAACTAAACAATGATCCTAATGAATATATTAACTAAGGTGTAATATAATGCACCCATGTAAAATTAACATGTGCAATTGCATTTAAATGGAATTTGATGTACTCAGCAGTTCCAAAAATAAAAGTTTGAGCGCAGATGACAGGAAAATATATATATATATATATATATATATATATATATATATATATATATATATATATATATATATTAGGGCTGTACTGAATAGAGATTTTCACTATGCAGCCGAATACGAATAGCGGGACCAACTATTCGGCTGAATACGAATAGTGTATCATCATCATCAGGTGCCTTACCGACTTGGGTCTGCCTTGCCACAATCTGCAATCTCCTGCAGCATGTATTAGTTCATGTGCTGACACACCTCCATGCCATGCAACAACACTGTCAAGAATCTTCTTTCATTGTCTTCCTCTATCCCTCCTTCTACAGCTCTTTCCTGTGGTCACCACATGTTCCATTTTCCCTCTTCTCATAACATGGCCGAAAAATTATGACTGTCTTCTTCTGATGTCTGTGATAAGTTGTCTTCGGGCTCCCGCCTCTTTCAAAAATTCTTGGTTGCTCTTTTTGGCTGTCCAAGGTATTCTAAGCATTCTTCTGTAAAACCACATCTCCGAGGCCTCCAGAAATTGTTTGGCCTGCCTACCGATTGTCCAGGATTTACAGCCATATGTTAAAACTGGATGTAAGTAGCAAGCAAGAATTCTTTTTCTAACTCTCAATGACAAGGATATATTGCACAAGATGTTTTTCATTTTATAAAATGCAGTTTTTGCCTGTCCTATTCTATTTCTTATCTCAGTTTTGCATCTTCCATCTGATGTTATCCATGTGCCCAGATACTTAAATTTCTGTACTTGTCCTAAAATAACACCATCAACTTTTATTACACACTTAGGAATAATTCGTTTCTTTGATACCACCATTACTTCTGTCTTCCCATTTTTCAAACTGAGGCCCATTCTTCCACTTTCTAACACCACAATGTCTATCATTTCCTGTAGTTCTTTCTGATTTGTTGCTATCAAG